CGCCCCCTGTGTAGGAGTGTCACCGGGCCTGTTCCCTCTGACCCCGCGTGCCCTTGCCTGTGCAGGAGGAGATGGACATGAAGGTGCTGCAGTTCAAGAACAAGAAGCTGTGCGAGCGGCTGGAGCAGAGGCAGGCGCTGGAGGACGAGCTGCGGGAGCGAATCGAGAAGCTGGAGAAGAGACAGGCCACCGACGACACCACTCTGCTCATCGTCAACAGATACTGGGGCCAGGTACTGACGCTGGGGCTCCCACACTGACCCTGGGGCTCCCACACTGACCCTGGGGCTCCCACACTGACCCTGGGGCTCCCACACTGACACTGGGGCCAGGTACTGACGCTGGGGCTCCCACACTGACACTGGGGCTCCCACACTGACACTGGGGCCAGGTACTGACGCTGGGGCTCCCACACTGACCCTGGGGCTCCCACACTGACCCTGGGGCTCCCACACTTACACTGGGGCCAGGTACTGACGCTGGGGCCCCCACACTGACCCTGGGGCTCCCACACTGACCCTGGGGCTCCCACACTGACACTGGGGCGCCCACACACTGACACTGGGGCCAGGTACTGACACTGGCGTGCCCACACACTGACACTGGGGTCTTATACTGACACTGGGGCGCCCACACACTGACACTGGGGTCTTATACTGACACTGGGGCCAGGTACTGACACAGGGGCGCCCACACCAACAGTGGGGTCTGGTACTGACACTGGGGCGCCCACACACTGACACTGGGGTCTGGTACTGACACTGGGGCCAGGTACTGACACTGGGGCGCCCACGCTGGAACCCCAGGGGTCTGTGTTACCTGTGATGTGTGTAACGACGAGCTGGCCAGAGCGCAGGAGTCAGCGCACACCTGCTCCCTGTCCCTGGGGGTTTGGAGCTCTGAGCCCAGACACAGACACACATCAGGTGGGATAGACACAAATAACAGGTGATAAATACGTTCTATACTACTGAACAAAGACACGAGAGGCTAGCAGGGCAAGTTGGAGCTTTCAGTCCGGCTGCAGGAACAGAGGTGACCGCCTGCATCTTCCTCCTTCCCTTCACACAGCTGGATGACAACGTGCAGTTCCTGCTGCAGCGTCTGGACACCGAAACGCCCCCAGCCCCGGCCTGTGCCTCCACTCTGGCTCCAGCCCCAGCACCAGCCCCCGGACTGGACTCTGCGCCTGTGCCCGTCCTGGAAGAGGGGCAGCCGGAGGCGGAGGGCTCCGAACTCCAGCCCCAGGCTCCGGGGGAGGAGCAGGCCGAGGCGGCGGAGCCGGAGCAGGACGGGGGCGAGTCGGGTGAGTCCCATCGCCAGTCCTCGGATGGGACAGGACAGGCCGGTGGTCTGTCTGTCTCTCTCTTTCCGTCCTTCTCTCTCTCATGGTCTGTCTGTCACACTGTCTCTCTCTCTCAGTTCAATTTCAATTCAAAGTGCTTTATTTGCATGACCGATGGGTACAATCAGTGTTGCCAAAGCAAATAAAATTAATCAAATTAACATGAAACAAAATGAAAAATAAAACCCCCAAAAAATCAACAGACATATTACAGACATTTACAACAGAGACATTTCATAAAATATTTACATATACTGTAG